ACAGGGCACTTCCTGTGCCTTTGGCCATATCATGATACAGCAGGAAGGCCCTCAAATGCCAGCACCTTGATATTAGATTTCCCAGACTCCAGAACTGTAAAAAACAAACTTCCATGTTCTGTGAATTACTCAGTCTCAAGTGTTCTGTTATACCAGCAGAAATGAGACTGAGACAACTATAGAGCTATTAACAGGATACAGTAGCTTCCATTTTTGATGTTAAAAAATCTTGTGGATAAAAAGGATATTTAAAGGTATTATTAGTATATTTAATGTGGAAAAAATTCCTATGTGAGGCTTTAAAATTTCTAACACATAAATTTCAGTCAAAAAAGTATAATCAATGCTAGAGGTATAGTTCAGTGGTAGAGCACTTGCTTGAGTTAACACATACATAAGAACAATCCCTTAAATGAGACAACACATACTTAAGAACAATCAAGAGATACAAGCATTTTAAACAATCTGGTATCTTAAGCAACTAACTGTATTCCAAATCTCTGAGCCAAAAGAAAATATCTAAATTCCTATTATGTTATAAGTATTATTCAGAAAGTGAACTACTAAGCAGAATTCACTTTGTGCTATTCTGATTAGTATAGCACAATAGTAACAACCTTGACACCCACATGATGAGGGTTTTTATAGCAATTTTATATAGCTATGGACCTAATCACAGCCTTTTCAATTCTCCTTGACTTAAAAGCTACAGAATTACAATATAAATAGAATAGGTTGGCATACTACGGCCAAAGTACAAAGGCAAACTAACACATACTGAAGATTAAACACAGATATTATGCAGTTTTAATTAATTGGCTAGGATACTTGCTAAAAATAGCATACATCTCTTTAATCTTGATATCTTTCAGAAGTAAATTAAACTCCAAAACTTCAAAAGTAGATTTGGTCAGCATTCTAAAGAAAACTTATACTTTATTTTTATTTTAGAAATCTTACCTGAAAAGAGATTTGTCAGACCCACTAGGACTATGACTAGCTTATACCATTTTTCCTAATCTCCCTTCCATATTTTTAAATTAGGAACCAATCACATCTATTATAAAAAATATAATACACACATCTAGGAATAGCAAATAATATGTTGAAACTGAATCATCCTACATAAACTTATGGTAATCCTTTGTAAGTTTATGGCAAAAAAAATGTATAATCTGGAAAACAGAACAATCACAAAGAGAGATCCAGTAATCTTTTGTAGCAATTGAAGGTATTATGCTAACAAACAATTCATTTTTCCTGCATACATTCCGAGACAGATTTTAACATAACAGTAAAAGAATGACATAGGGGCTGGGGATTTAGTTCAGTGGCAAAAGCGCCTGCCTGGCAAGCGCAAGGTCGTGAGTTCGGTTCCCGGTAACGGAGAAAAACCAAAAAAAAAAAAAAAAACAACAAAAGAATGACATAATTTATCCAGAATTGCATGGGTTCGTAATTTTTCTGGAGAAAACTGACAAATGGAGAGAACTCTAAAACTCTCTGCATGTTCTGATCCAGTAAACTTTAGAAACTTATTCCAAGTAAATGATTTGGAGATGTGCTTAAAAAATGTATACAAAATAACGATGACTGAAAACATCATACCACAGCGATACATGTGCACTCATGTTTATAGCAGCACAATTTTCATAGCTAAATCTTGGAAACGACCCAAATGTGCATCAACTAAGCAATGGATAAAAAAGATGTGGTATTTTTATACAATGGAGTACTACTCAGCTATAAAGAAAGATAAATCCAGAGCTTTTATAGGTAAATGGATGCAACTAGAGACCATACTCATAAGTGAAATAAATCAGACTCACATGTGTAAACACCATATTGTCTCCCTAGTGTAAGAAACAGAAACAGTAAATAAGATCCAAAAGGTACAACAGATATAATGAAAGGGAAAGAAACTGCTCAAAAGGAAAAAACAACTGGGATGGGAAAAAAGAGAAAAGAAGGACATGGGGAAAAAAGATATGTGTATGTATATATGTATATATATATACACACACACACACAAGATAGCTAAGACAATTGTACCACTAATTTCTGTTAGTTCATTGACAGAAATAGTGCCTATACTGTTTGATCAATTGTGCATGCCTGTATCTGGTAATCTGAGCAACTACTTTGAAGATAACAATATGTAGTAAAATAACCACTGTTAATTTCCTATCATCTTGTTTTGAAATTCTGTATCATTTTTATTGGGCTTTTTTCTCTCTTTAAAATAAAAAAAATGACAGTGTTTATAATAGCAGGAAAAAAAATGAAGGCAACTTAGATATTATTTAGTCATGAATAACTTTTAACTATGGAATGAGAAAATGCTTCAGGTGGAATATTAGATAGAATAAAAAAGTACACATGAATAGTATCAATTTTGTCCTTCTCCTAAGAAAATATCTGTATGTATGAAAATACCTAGAAAAGTAATTATACAAATATTTGGAAGAAAGTATACAATTTATCAGTTGATTTTGTCTACACATAGTGGTAATACAGGTGGTTTTTGTTCCAAATTGTAATTTAGCGCACAAATGACTTTAATCAAATGGTGAATAATCACCTATAGAATTATTATGAATCATATGATTCCCAAGGTCCCTTTTAATTCAAAGAATCTGCAACTCTAAAAGAAACTTCCCACAAGTAATAAAAATCAATAAGTCTTTGCCAACGCCAGAAAATCTGAATTTATATTTTCAAAGAAAGACTGACAGCCAAAAATGGCATTAATTTCAGAAAGAACATCAATATCTTCTGGCTAGTAGCTCTTTTCTTAGATAGAAAAACAGGCAGTAGACCTAAATGAACTGTACCAAACAAAAGAAACAGGAATGAATCTGCAACTGCCAAAAAAGAGGAGGAGGAAGGACATGAGGACAAGAAAGAAGAAAATGGAGAAACAAAGAAAAGTTCTCCCTTATTTTTATTTTTATTTTTTTTTGGTTTTTCTCCGGTACCGAGAACTGAACTCACGACCTTGCACTTGCCAGGCAGGCGCTTTTGCCGCTGAGCTAAATCCCCAGCCCCATCTCCCTTATTTTTAATCAAAAGAGCCACTGCCAGCCAAGATGGATGAAATAATCTATATGAGTAATTAATGACTACAATCATATAAATCACTTAACATTTTTATATCTGGTATAACTTCAAACCAGGGAGTAAGAGGCATTAAGGCTCTCCTTTTAAAAAATCTGATTATATTAATTTGATTGGATCAATTAAATGACCTGTGATAAGTAAACTACCATCTCAACTTTCCCTAAGACTGTGAACTATGAAAAAACAGCTAATTATCAACCATTAGCACAGATTCACAAAAATGTCAAATATATAGTATGATGTATGTCAAATATTTAAGTGAAATAAGGTAGTTTCATGAAGTTATAGGTTAGAATTCTACAATTCAAAATCAAGGGAAGTGGGGTGTGGTGCATGTCTGTAATCTCAGCACTTAGTAGGTTGAGACAGGAGGATCCCCATGAGTTCAAGGCCAGTCTGTGCTACATAAGCAAGTTCAAAGCCAGCCTGCACTACATAATGCGACTTTGTCTCAAAAAAGGGGTGGAGGGAGAAAGTTCCCTTGTAATGACTGAAGACAGCCATTTCCAGTGATATGTACTTTTTACTACAAATTAAGACTATAGAAAATATCATGTAATAGGATACCATAACTAATATTTGATGAGAACATAATCCAATTTACAAAACCAAGGCTGGGGATATGGCTTAGTGGCACAGCGCCTGCCTGGCAAGTGCAAGGTCCTGAGTTCGATTCCCAGTACCAAAAAAAAAAAAAAACCCTCCCAATTTACAAAACCAAAAGAAAATAATTAAAAAATGAAGTGTAAATTACTCAAAATATCCAGAGGAGAAATGTTTTATTTCACTGTTTGTTCATTTGTTTATTTGTGGATATATACCTTACCATCTTTCTTGCTCATTATATGATATATAAAAGTTTTAAAAAGTTAAAATGAAATGCTTAAGATAGTTTCCCTATATTTAGAGGATCGTATGACTTAGGAAAAAATGTTTGGTTATATTAAAAGATCAGGGGAACAAAAGTCCTTATTGAACCTTGTCAAAATATACAGCTTTTTTCTTTCCTTTTTTTTTTTAAAAAATGAAAGTACTATGAACAAAAAAGAAAAAACCAGAAATCCTCATGACCATGATTTTCCCATCAGTTATCATAAACAAGAAAAGATATGTTTTCCTAAAAATACTGTAAGAAACACTCTTAAAAGGAGAAGAGATTACTGCCTTTTAGCATTAAATATTTATTCTTACAGATTCTTTCTATCAGAAAGATCTAGTAAAACTAACACCTGAAATGTACTCATGGCTTTCTAATTAGCATAAAAATATCATAAAAATTTTAAAGATAAGCAATATGCTAAAAATAGTTCTAATCTGTTTAAAGAACATATTATATGCTATATAACTGCATAAAACCTGCTTTGTACTATTTTATTATTATCTCATCCAGAAACCATTTTTGAGGCAATTTTACTTGACCACCACCCATTTCCTATTGTGACAAATGACTCTGTCAACAGTATCTTTACCATCTTTTAAACACTGCAGTATTTGAGACTTCCTACCTATAAGTGAGTGTAAATATGTTACATAATTCAGCATTTTCGAGGTGTAACTATAGTACCTGAAAAGTAGAAGCCAAATTGTGAAATAAACTCTCTCCAAAAAAACCCAAAAAAATTCCCTTGAATTTTTCCTTTTAAAAGAAATCTCAAAATTAAATATCTTCAAGAAAACACTAATTCACATGTTCTTACTGAAAATAATACACAATATTTTAAAGATTTTAAAAAGGTAGCACATTGTGTGTTGCAAAAGACTCTTAAGATCTGCAATCATGCTGCAGTCATGAATAAACATATTCCTCTGAAGTTCTAAATACAAATGGCCACATCAGGGGCATGGAGCATGCACATCAGATTGAAATAGATTTACATTACCTCCAACCTTAGGGCCACCTGCTGAACCAGGCTTCCTTGCACTGTTGACAGGATTTCCGGACGTCTTAGGTGCAGGCACCTTGAAGGCTGAAGCAGCTGATGATGGCCTATTTCCATCCACTGATTCCTCATCATCAAAGCTTTTATCTGCACAAAGCATTAGAAAAATGTATTTAAGGAAGCTAAGTTTCGCTTCATTTTCCATAAAACTAAAAATCCAACTAAAGGCATATAAAAATCATTACTTTGGTAAGACATATAACACAAAATAAGGTCCTTTGAATAAACATTTATATGTTGTTTAACACTATGTATAAAATAAGCTTGGTGGAATTTAAAATAAATATAATATTATCTTATTTCCTACCTAAATGTATAAAGTCAAAACACAAAATCAAACACAATAACTCTACGAGCAGTAAAAAGCATTTTTCAGTTTTCTGTTACTCCTGTAAGCATTTCTGCCAGCTCCTCCCATAGTGCATCTTCCAGCACGCCCTGCCTTATTCCTTATACCCAGATTCTGCAACTTACAATCACAGATCCGTTTGCAAATCAGACGCCTCATTCCTCTGAAAGCTCTTAATTTCCCTCACCCTAGGATGCTCCCAATAGTTCACATGGCCAAATACAGTAAATTTGATACTAATCAAAGATTCTATCAAAAATAGATAGAAACAACCACAGAACCACCACTGAGGTTTGTGCCGGCATTTTTCTTTCTCTTCCCTGCCCTAGGTGCTGCAACAGCCAATCAGCTACAAGGTGACATCATCTTATGGCAGCTACTGCTAGATGAAAGGTAAAAATTCTTCATGCATCTAAAAAATTTGCTCTGTATCTACAATCGTTATTCTTTATCAAAATTGTAAAGGCATTGAATACCAAAGGTTTATAAATCTAAATCTGTTTTCTCTTAATTGACATAAATACTTTATATAAATAAAAAATAAGGTTTTATGCAAGATTCATTCTGCTGGGATGCTTATTATTTCATCAGTAAAGCATGGACGATCACAGTCCTCCTTACTGCACATAATTAATTCTGTAATCTCAGAATGTGCTGTTTATTTAGGCCACAGAAACAAAACTGAACAAACTGTTCTCATAAATGATCCTATAACATTCTACAAGGCTCTTTTTACAATGTGAATGATTACACTAGTATCTCCTCATTATGGAAAAGAAATATCCCAGCCTCTTCTAAAAGAAAAAAAATCACAAGATATATGCAGGTTACTCTTCTGAAAAAATGGTTTGCTCTAGGACCCTGCACAGACCAACCCAGACAAACACGATGGGCGAGGCAGAGAAGCAGCTTTACCACAAGCTTCAGATCAATCTGCCAGAATCATCTTCCTTTCAATCTGTTCTCCTCACCTGTACAAATACCCAGTCACCACCAGAATAAAATCATCCATAGGGATGCTATGTTACAATATTAAAATTACAATTATTAAATATATTTTTAAAAAATACTCTGAACAACTTTTAAGATTGTATTACGTATGGCACGGGGGTGGAGTGGAGTGTTAAAAGATACTTTAATAAGGCCATAATATATTTCTGCAAGTGTTTGCCTATAGGAAAAAATACCTTCTAGTTAAAAAAAAATTTCTTAGTGTAACACCAGCCTGTATAGATTAATAGACTTAAAACCTATGCTTTATATAGACTGCACTATTAAAACCACTACTACAATACCCAATAAACTTTTTGCCACCATTATGCAAAATATGCAGCCAAAAGAGACAGAGTAGACACAAAAATCTACAGAAAGGCACTAAACTAGAGTAGCTAAAAGTTCCCATGGAAACAGTGTTCTGTTCCTATATACACACACACAAGAATCAAAGAGTAAATGTCTCTTACCATTAAAAAAAAAATTAACTCTTAAGATTCTCAGATTACTGGTAAGCTAATTTTTAACTTTCTATCCAAATACAGTGAAGTACACAAATCCCAAATATGCAACACAAGGACTTTTCACAAATGAACAAGCTGGTGTAATGAGTATACAGATCAATAAATTATCCTGTACACATCTGAAGACCCTTAAAAATCACTATTTCAAACAAAGCTATTTTTGAATTCTAACACTGTAGTTGGTTTTGCCCATTTTTGAACTTTATATATAGAAGGAATCATACAATACATACATTGATATATGGCTTCTTTTCATTAAATATTGGGAGGTAATATCTGAAAGATTCATTTCATTGCTTATAGTTCTCTAATGTATGAATGTACCACAACTTATGTGCATTCTACTACTGACAGACATTTGGGCTATTCCCAATTTGAAATTTTTTTAAGTGCTCCTAGGAGTAAGTAAACCAAGTTAAAAGGTCCTAAGGATTTCAGCATTACTGGGGAACAGAAAACACAGTATGGCATGAACATTCCTATTGAAAACTTTTTGAGTGATTACATGATGCTCAGTTTTGGAGTTTGGATTTTAGAATTAAAGGTGGTCAGCTGATAAAAGTTATGCAAATACTCTAAAATGTGACAAAAATTTAAATTCTGAAACACTTCTGGCCCTAAACCTTTCAGATAAGGGATATTCAGTACTGCATGTAATTTCCTTTAGATTACAATAAATCAAATACGCATATTGTAATGTGAAAAGCAATGTTCCCAAAATGTGATCCCCATATTAGCAGCTGAATTAGCACCAGTAATTTGTTAGAAATGTAAATCCTTCAGTCCTAACACAAACCCACAACTCAACTGAATCAGAAATTCAGGAGATGCAGCCCAGTAACTTAAAAAGCCCTCTTCATGACCATGATGCACAATCAAATTAAGGACCACTTCTCTATGGCAAAGGTTTTGAACCTTTTCCATCAAGTGTCACATAGCAAACATCTTAAGCTTTGGAATTCATACATATAAAGTCTTTCTGTGCAAGTACTTATTTATGACACTACAGCACCAAAGCAATCATCTGTGATATGTAAACAAAGAGGTGTAGCTTGTTTCAATAAAACCTTATGTACAAAAACAAAGAGGGCAGCTGGATTTAATCTGCAAGCAGCAGTTTACCAATTCTTGCTGTAGGGCAACCACTAAAAGTAAATATATACATGAACAAATTAATAGAAAGTAAAAATCATGAAAACATTTGATTAACTAAAAAGATATAGAAAAAGAGACAAAAGATAGAAACAAATGGTAATGATAAAACCAAATATACCAGTTATTACCTTAAATGTAAATTAGCTAAACAGTCCAAATAAAAGACAAAGACTGAATATTTTTAAATAGATTACTTACATGAGATATATATTACATATAAGATTATATAAAGGCAAAAAGCAAAATTATAAAGATGGACTGTGGCAAATACTAATCAAGAGAGAGCTGGCATAGCTATATTAATTTCAAAGTAGGCAGCTTAAAGAAGCATTACTAGAAATAGAGACATTTAATAATGATAAAGGGATGAATCCAATGGGGGGAAATATCAAAAGTGTTTATTTATGCACTCAACAACAAAATTTCAAACATATAAAAATTAAAGAAATTTAAAGGACAAAATATATCTCAAAACATTTGGTAAAAAAATAAAGTTATATGTTCTTTTATCATAAATTAAAGGAATTCATAAAATAATTCATCATCATAACCCTAAAATTAAAAATCTATTTTATAATACATGTAGAGATTATAAATATTCTAGGCTTGAACTTTTTTCTCACCTATAAAACAGTAAAACAAATCCCAATTATTTTCCTTTGGCAGCTATCATTTCATGAAATAAGAAGTACTGACTTTTAAAATGCTGAGTTTCTGGAAGCTTCTTAAGAGCAGCAACTCTATCTTGAACATATATAACACCTCTGCCTAGAACAATCAGGAACTCTCTAAAATCTCCCTGCTTCTGACCTCTTTATCCCTTGTGCATTTCTTCTTAACACAACATCCTCAGTTGAATAAAGTTACATCACTGATCATAATTCTCCCATGACTCATAACAAGTCCTATTAGGACTCTAAGGCCTTAGACATTGTGTTGATATATCAAACCTCATGTCCTACTTCCTCCCTCTCTTTTCCTCTAATTCAGTCTTACTAGCCTTCTTACTGTGTGTCACGTAACGACCTTTGTACCTGTTTCTTCTACCTAGAATGCTATCTCCACATCCCTGATGCCCCTCCTGCCGTGTATCCACATTGTTCACTCACCATCTTTATGTCTTTTTTGTCACCTTTCTCAATGAAGCTTTCTTTGAACACTATTATAAACTCTCCAACATAGCGACACTCTAACCTACCTGTCTTCCTATCTTATTTTTTTCTCTAGCATTTACCACCTACATATTTCATTAATGTTGTTAACCTGTCTCTTCCCCCTGAAAGACATGATCTATGATACATGATCTATGAGAGATATATGTTTATTTTGTCCACTGCTGTATCTTCTACATGTGGAACAATGCCTACAATAGCACATTTCATTGAGGGAAGACTTTTGGTCTCTAGTAAAAAGCATTACTAAGTTATTTGAAGCAATACTCCATATGCAAAAAAACTACACTAAAGAAAAAAAACACACAATGTAGAAAATCTTAAAATGAATAAATATTTGACAAGATAGTAAGAAATTCAAGGATAAAACCAATACATTAAAACTTCTGTCCTCAAGGTTTTGTGGGACAAAGGGAGCAGAAATCAAAACCTAAATAAGACAAAGTCAAAAGCTAATATGCCAAATGACTATACTATATCTTAAAGGCTAATGTAGACCATAAGTAAGCACCTACTCTCCTATTGTTTATTCCTTTCAAAATTTTCTCAAGAGAACAGGGAAGTGAACCAAATGGAGTATGTCATTAAAGTCAACTGCTTGGGAAGTTCAAACACTTCACCCATTCAACTCTGCAGGCTCAGACTGGTAGTACTACTAAGCAACAGCCAAAGCACATACAAAATGTCCATAGAAGAAAGTCTCTGGTCTCAAATTATTACCACACACAACTTTTTAAAGGCCATCAGGCACAACAGGAAACAAGACACCATGAATAAGTATAGAAAGAAATCGATACTAGGAATGGACCTATTTAAAATCCTATTTCTGACAGCAGACATAGACTATCCAATACTTACACTTACACACTGCATAATTTGAAAATAATTTCAGAG